CACACTCACACCACACGGCACACACCCACATACCGTACTGACACACGCACACTCACACCACACGGCACACACCCACACACATACCGTACTGACACACGCACACTCACACCACACGGCACACACCCACATACCGTACTGACACACGCACACTCACACCACACGGCACACACCCACATACCGTACTGACACACGCACACTCACACCACACAGCACACACCCACATACCATACTCAGCACACGCACACTCACACCACACGGCACACACCCACATACCGTACTCAGCACACGCACACTCACACCACACAGCACACACCCATATCATACGGACACACGCACACTCACACCACACGGCACCCACCCACATACCGTACTCAGCACACGCACACGCACACCACACACCCACATATCACACTGAGCACACGTATAGACACACCACACAGCACACACCCACATATCGTACTGATGCATCTGAGTAGAAGGTTCTTCTCCTCCTCCCTCCGTATTTCATTTCCCCTATTCCACAGTGAGAACAATGGCTTTCAAGAACAATACTTTACTTCTTTTATTAACCCTAAATATGCAAAATTCAGCCATTTAACACTTGTATCAGTTACTACAAAAACTTACGAAATTACTATTTCCTTAGAATTACTTTTGCTTTTAGAATGTATTCCGCTGAGAGGTGAAGTCAGGATACTATACATAAAGTTCCTAGGACTGCTTTTCTTCTCTGTGGTAATGCTATAAACTTGATACATATTTAGGGTCATTTACCTATCGGGGTTTTCCCCATCCTTTTCATTTATTTGTCCTTTTGGAATATGCAAAACATTGACTAGATAAAAGTCAAATCCACATTAAGATTACACTCATCGATGTTTCGTTCCTTTCTATCCTACTCTCATCCACTTGCACAGGACTCATCTTACTCATTTCTCATCAGTGACACTGAGATCTCCAGGAATGTTAAATTAGGAATAAGGTAACATGACAGATTGCATTTTGTGAAGTAAGTAACCCACAGAGCGTTTCATATTCCTGTGGAGTTAATATCAAAGGGCCACATTTGGAGTATGAAATTTTACATATAAATATATTTGATGACTTACTTGAATATTGTTTTTACTCTTCTGTGAATCAAACTATTTCCTGTAGGGATGTTACTTAAAAACATTTTTGTTTGTGAGGACCTCTTTGATATCATTGATGGAAATCATTTAGAAAATTGTATCTATGACCAGTAATTCTATAGACGGTCTTTTTGACTAAGAGTCTTCTGAAAAGTAGAGGCTACTGTATTTAAAATACGGTCAAAATTTTTTTCCTGGAAGAAAAATGTGAATAGCACCAACAAGCTCTAAAAACATAGTCAAAGGAATCTCATTATAGTTCTGACTCTGTCCCAAAGTGTTGTTAGGGCTTGAACATGAAATTTCACTCCTGTATGTCTCAGGTTTTCTTACCTGAAAAATGCTAACAAAGTAACCCAGAGAATGAAAGGCAAACTCTGTGTTCCCCCCTCAATATATACCCAATATCTGCACTCCACGACAGAAATGGCGAGACCT